GTGAGATAGAGAAGCCTATTTCTGTTTCTTAGTTTAACAAAGCTGTTTGCAGCACATGCACAGTTTTATCAGCAAAAATGACTTGAACACAAACTCACCCGAGACTCTTCGGTCATGAGACTAATTTGTCCTCTTGTGCTGCCGGTAATCAATTATTATTAAACTCAATCAATATATCCAACGCACTGACCTCATCCAGCTTTTCGTCTATATTTCTTTTTCATTTTGAAACGTTCAGCTTGATTTGATTTGAAAGTGGAATTTATTACTGCGCCACCAACACTAATCAAAGTGAAAGTATTCAAGTGACCGGGGGCGCGTTCCAATTTGCTTCCTACTGAGAGACGTGACGCGGAAGTACCTGCGCGGTGGCCACAGAAGGAGCTGTTCCAAACACTAAGGAAAGGAGCTTCAGTACTTCCTTTCTTGCTTCCTGTAGCGTAGGATACAAGGGGCCATCCTTTATGAAAAGGGATGAGAAAATGCTGTCCCATAATTCATTGCGATGGATCATCTGACTGTTTATAAAAACCAGCGACATCAGTTGCCCAGATCATGTAAATGTTCATTGTAACTGCATTTTCTGTTTCACCCATAAGCTGCTGATATATTTATATGTTTTAACAACAGTCTTTTAAACTCTCAGCTGAACTCTGTGGAATAAAAACTTATTCTGCAGTGTGATATTCATTCTTATTGCTGAGTTGTTGTTGAAGCAGGCAAAACACTATATAAGCTCAAGATTGTAATCTATATTAACTATAAAAAAGTATATTTATTGTTCTGTATAATCAGTGTTCATTAGTAATGTCCTTTGCTTTAGGATTAATTTTTACTTCAGTCCAGATCAGCCGGAATAAGTAACAACTGGAGGAAATTTTTACTGCAGTCACAGAAATCCTAAACAGGGAGAGAAAAGAGCTACACAGCAGGTAAATATAAGAAAATAAGACGTGTTTAATTTCATATGCCTTGGGAAAGATTTTTTTATGTTATTATTATTTTTATTATTCCTTTATCTATTCAGGTAAAAATCTCATTGAGATTAAAAATCTTATTTCTAAGAGAGACTTGGCATCATGGCAGCAAAAGGCAAAAACACAGGCACCACATAACAACATAACAATTAAAACAAATACAATATTCTGTAGATCTCGCAGATTTACTAAGTGAATCAGAATCAGAAAGGGTTTTATTGCCAAATGTTGAGCAGGTTTACAACATTAGGAAATTGCTGCGGTACTTAGCGTAAACATACTGTCAGACAACGCTTAAATAAACATAAAAATAAAAATTAAAAGTGCTAAGTAGATATATACATGAGTGCAGGTGGTGATCAGTGCCAAACATGGAATGATGCAGTGA